ATTTTTTGAGGCAGGGTCTCTCACTTGATGTGGAACCCACTGATTTGGATAGAGTAGGTGGTCAGAATCCAGAGGTCCTTTTGTCTCTGTGTCTCTGCCTTTTCCCTGCTGGGATGACAGTTGTGCCTGGCTTTTATATGGGTATTGGAGATCCGGATTCAGATTCGAAAGCTGTATAGCAAGCACCTTATTAACTGAGCACTTCCCAGACCCCTTGACAATGTTTTAATGGTGTCCTTTTATTTTATATGTTGAGATTGTATAAAGAATAAATTGACAAATAGCAATTTTGATTCTTTATATGGCCCTAGCTAATCCAAGACTCATAGCAGTAAGGGTGAGAGATTATATATATTCACCTTTTACCAGCAGAAACCATGTGATATGGGGAGGTGGGAGGGGGCATTCTTTACTCCTTGGTTTTTATGTAACAAGCCTACATTGAAGAACACATGGCAACCACAGGCATAATGGAACAATACAGCAACCTATCACCCTCTCAAAGCAGGTAAAAAAGGTGTTAACAGTGATGGATATTTATAGCTAACTCCTTCCAGCTATGCAAATGTGAGTTTTCCATCAAAAGATAAGAACATGAAGACTTGGACTGACATGCCAATTATGCATTTAACCACCTAGAAGGCTTTCCACCACTACAAGGTTTCTTTTACTGCCAGGCAGATCAAACCAGCTCTGACTAATACTGGGAGAAATAGATCCCTAGGGAGATATCCAAAGTGGGGGTTCAACACTATGTACATGCAGTTTCCAAGGTTCTGAGGAAATGGTTTGGGCTCCAATGATGAACTGCTGCTGGGTTTGACATTTGGACCTCATATGGCCTGAGACAAGGTATGGATATCCAACAATCAGCACACAGCAAACAAATTGTAGTCACCTCCACATCTGTGTTGTGTACATTTTTGAGTGTGCATGTAGGGGTGATGCACACATGTGAAGGCAAGACATGGGCAACGGTTGTCTTCCTCCTTGGTCCTCTGCCTTATTCCCTTGAAACAGTTTCTCACTGAGCTTGGACCTTGTCAGTGGCAGGACTCACCGACTAGCAAGTTCCAGCACTAGGGTCAAAGACATATGTGGCTATGCTCGGCTTATCACATGGCTTCTGGGATCTGAACTCAGGTCCTCATGGTTGAACCAAGTGTTCTTACCAAACAAGAATTTCCTCAGGCCACTCTTTCTTGCTTTCCATTTTACAGTTCATTTAATACATGAAACATGAACATACAAACACCGCCAGGAATCAAGTCTCTGCCTTCCCTGTCACCTTTAAAACAAAGAGTGCAGGGGCTGGTGAGATGGCTCAGAGGTTAAGAGCAGTGATTGCTATTCCAGATGACCTGGCTTCAATTCCTAGCACTCATATGGCAACTCAAACCTGTCTGTAACTCCAGTTTCAGGGGACCTGACACCCATGGCAAAAAAAACAAAACAAAACAAAAACAAACAAACAAAAAACCAAAGCACATAAAAATAATATATTAAAAAAAAAAAAACCCTAAGAGTACAGCAGGGCATTGTGGTACCTGTGTAATTCCAGCACTGTAGATACTGACTGAGACTGGAGGATGTTGAACTGAAATGTCAACACAGTAGTCTGAACTACTACACAGCAGCACCCCCTTTCTCCCCTCTACCCCCCACAAAAAAGGAAAAAGGAGTAAAGAAAAATGAAAACTCGAAGATAGAAAGTAAGAAAGCTTAGGATAACATTTCTCACTGCATCTCCCAGAAGACCTTGCTGACCTTCTAAGTGGACAACTGTATTCCAGGTCCTGGGCACAGAGCACAGGGAATGAAACACATCATTATAGAAGCAATAACCCTCTGACCCAGGTGACACCTCTACCCCCACCTCACATAAGGAAACTGAGGCACAGAAGAAAAGAGACCAATGTGACCAAGAGCAAAGAGCCATAAGAGGTGCTGGGACCTCAGCTTGGAAGAAAAGAACCACTCATATTTAAGAGGCATCACAGAAATTAGGACCTAAGCCCTCCTTTCTGCCTGTGGAGCCATCCCCCCAGGTTCATGGCTGCAGAGGTCCTCATAGATAGGCATCAGTGCCACCCCCAAAACTGCATGTATATTTAAAGGGAACACCAGGCAACAAGTACTGGATTGTAAAATGTGCATATTTTACCAGATGACAACTATCCACAACCTAGCCACAGGATGGCAGGTGCCAACCTTCCCAAGGGCAGTGCTCTGCTCTACGGTGGCCTCAGTTAAGGACCCAAATCTGTACTGAGCTTTTTGCCGCAGTCATCTGCTGATTCTCTACTACAGGCTAGATCATCCACTGAACTTGTATCCACTTTCCAGATGAGACACAGTTGGGACTCAGGGCTGTTAAGTGACATGTCTGGTCTACTAAGGGAAGCTCACATGGGAAAATAGGATCTGAGTCTAAGCCATTCTAACTTCAGCACATACAGTGTGATCACACTGCTGTCCTGTGTCCACAACAGGTATGAGAGCAAGCCTACTAACACAGTAAGTCTATTGCACTCATGAGCATCCACACAGGCTGGGGACAAAGAGAGTGTACAATAGGACAAGGCAAGTTCCATCCTGTTCAGTGTGCCAGTTAGCAATTGTCACAGACAGCACATCCAGGCCACTCTGAAGAGAGAATGTCGGAGGGCCAACTCACTTGTCACCCATCAGCTGACACCCTCCACAGCCAATGGGAGGGAATGGCGGGAGATGGGTTGTTACATCTTCAGGTGTGCATAAGACAGGCAAAACCAGGGCCCTCAGCCTTGTTTCTTGCATACACTGGGAGAGCACCACTGAGTAGGGACTGGCCATGGCATTGGGATACAAAACCTCAGAACCATAGTAGCGAACACTCATCTGCATATTCGGGACTTAGATCTTTTACACCTCTCTGGGGTGGGGGTGGGGTGTCCTTTGCAAGTCTCAGACTCAGCATGGTACTGTAAGAAACATGAGGAGTCTCAAAAGTGCTGAGATGCAAGTCTCTGCTAAGAATCAGGCAGACTGAAACGTCAACACAGAGTAAGTCAAACAAGACCCAGGGCAACTGTACAACTTCGTGTAAGTAACCACACGTGTAAGTAACCACATGGCAACTGTCCACGTCTCCTGCTTTCCATTCCTCTGAAGCACATTTCCTACAGTGAAGGCTGCATTTCTTCAGAGTCCAGAGAAGAAGAATAGAAGTCAAAGTCACGAGTGAGGCTTCAGGGAAGCCGTGCAAAGGGGCCCGCCTGTGCTAGAAGGGCACTTTCATCTCTTGAATCCATCTCTTCCTTGCAGGATCTAGGAGCAAGGGCTGGAAGTCCAACAGCCACCACGAGGAAAGAAAGCATTAATACCCTTGAACAGGCAGAGCACCAAGATAGGAGGCAGAAACGACTCTCCCCGAGTGTTTCTCATGAAAGAACACACAGCAAATTTGTACGCCTACCTACAGCAGCATCTGTTCTGAGAGAGTCATTTGCAAATAATACAGCGAGACAAAAACACCTCTTCAGGTGACACTGCCATTTTCTGCTAGGGCAAGAACCCTAGAAAATTCCACAAGTTGCGTTTCTAGCTCCCACCTTCTATTCTCAAAGCTGTTTGTTTAACCCTGACTTCCCTTCTTAATTAGCATTGCTGGTCTGGAGAAGCGTATTTGCTGAGCCTGTCTATATGTTTTGACATGCAAGACTTGTGAAATTCAAACATACGCAGACATTCAAAGCAGTATTATTTATTAAGGCCTATATTAAAGGTGGAAGATCTTAAAGCCCTCTCAGATTCTGATGATTAAAGGAAATTTAATCGTTCTTCATTGGCATTTGATCTTTAGCCTGCCATAATCTACCCGTGTATCCCTTCATCCATATATGATACTAAAGAGATATTTCAACAGCGTGTCCATCAAGTGTAACACAGACCGAGCTCAGAGACCACATGACTCACACAAATAAAAGAGCATCCCACCACCCCTGGGTTAGCTAATGAAAGCGAAGGTGACTGGGGAGTGAGAGGGATGGAAGAGCTTTCCCATCACATGGAAGAAACCATTCACATACAGTCCACCATGCTTCGGCCTGGCAGTCTCCTGCCAGGCTGGAAGAGCATGTATTTCAAATGCCTGTTTCTTCCTCATTCATCATTTGTGCAGGGTCAAGAGAGACTAGTAACCTGTGAGCTGTCAAGTTCATGGATGGCACCCCAACCTCGATGTGTCAGCAGATGGGGGAGGAAACCAAAGCCCTTGGGTCAATATAGCACAATGATTATTTGGGTATACAATGTTTAGAGGGACATAGTAATGCCACTCATTTTTTTTTTTTTTTTCAAGTACCCATGGTTAATTCTGTTAACCAACAGCAGAAGTGCCTAACCACAACAGACAATGTCTGTGGCTCAGAAGGGTAACTAGAGTCACTCTCTGGCCCTTTGGGAACAATTTGAGCCAACTTTGTATTTGGACATATTATTGAAACTATGACCCATGACCTGGTACAAATGGGATTTCTTTTAGTTCATTCTGTTTGGGGTGTGAATGTGTATATGCAGGAATGTTCATGCTTGCAGAGGGACATATGCATATATATAGACATGTGTGGAGGCCAAGAGTATCATTCCTCAGGAGCCATTCACCTTGTTTTGTGAGGCAGGGTCTGTCACTGGGACCTAGAACTCACTAGATAGGTCAGACTGACTGGACAGCAAGCCGTTAGATTGATCTGTCTCGACTTCCTCAGTGCTTCAAGCTTTTTTTGTTTTGTTTTGTTTTGCATTAAACTGATCTCAGGCCATCATGCTGGCAAGGCAAGCACTTTAACCACCGAGCCACCACCCAGCCCGGAAGGTACCTATGTGGAAAAGTCATACAATTGTCACAGAAAGTGGCAGCATACATGTGTCTGTCATCTTTGGAACTCTCGCCTGATCCTAGGGCCAGTGGCCCATAATTTTCTTTCCACCCCTTGGTGACACAGACATTGGTCACTTACCCTGAGCTTTTAGTAAGTCTCACAGCCATAAAAAGCCTGGGGTCACGGGCAGGGTGCCTGCAGAATGCCACAAGACTGCAACACACAGAAGGACCCTGGAGGCAAAAAGGGAAAAAAGGGTTAGGGCCAGGAACTTTGGGTGCTTCCCTGGGCTTCTTTTTTCAAACAGGAAATTAGCCCCATTTTTTCCTTTTCCTTCTAGAATCAGGAAGATGAAAAACAGTAAACTGAGTGCAACGGTCACTCCTGAGGGCAGAGAAGTGTTCATCAGTGTCTCCTCCCCTGTCATGTGTGTGCGTTCATGTGTATGAAGGTTAGAGGTCAGACTGAGATAACGTCCTCAATCACATCTCCACATTATTTGGGGAGCAGGGTCTCTCACTGAGCCTGGTGCTTACCCTTCAGCTGGCCTAATTGTCTCTATGTCCCCAGCTCTGGGATGAGTGACAATTGCCACTGTTTTATGTGTATGCCAGGGAATGGAACACAGTCTCATCTTGTAGGACAAGCACTTTACAGACAGAGTGATCTCTCGAGCCATATTCTTAGGATGCAGTTTCTGAATTATAATGCTGACAGGCCCTGAGAAGTAAGAGCAAAATGAAGATTTCACTTCAGGTTTGGATTCATGAACTTGGCTTCAGGTGTCCTGTAGATGAGGCCAGGAAGGAACCCATATCCTCCAGACCACAGGTGCCCTGAAAAGGCAAGTGAACTCCTGTCTGCCAGCCACACTGTCTCATTTGTCAGTTTAAAAATTGCATTTCACAGGCCGGGCGATGGTGGTGCATACCTTTAATCCCAGCACTTGAGAGGCAGAGGTAGGCGGATCTCTGTGAGTTCGAGGCCAGACTGGTCTCCAGAGCCAGTGCCAGGATAGGCTCCAAAGCTACACAGAGAAACCCTGTCTCGAAAAACCAAAAAAAAAAAAAAAAACCAAAAAAAAAAAAAGATTGCATTTCGCATGCCAGTAGAGACCAGGACAGTCTTGCCATGGAAGGCAAATGTGTGCTAAAGCTGTGGACTTCTGGGGGTCTGGCTGAGTTATGAGTATACTATTAACCAAGTGGGGTTCTGAGTTTGCAATTCCCCTGATGGAGCCCTCATAGTTCCATTGAGTGCTTTCTGAAAGTGTAAAACCAGCTGCCAGTCAATGGCCCCCAGGAAGCCTTCAGGTGACCATGCCACTCCACTGCTGTGGAGCCTACAGAAGGAATGCTCTAGAAGAAAAAGAGTGAAGCAGAATGAGGGCCCAATGTAAGCCCTTCAGGGGTTTGTATGTGCTCTTTTCTTTCCACAGTATGTTCAGACAACATTCGGTGAAACTTCCTCTGGAGACCAGGCCAGCCTCAAACTCACTGAGATCCCCATATCTCTGCTGGGATTAAAGCTGTGCACCACGACTACCCAGCCCCATTTTTTTTAGATTAACCAATCAATCTGAGAAGTTGAAATTGAAAAGATGTATGGAGTTTTATGATTTGAATAGTCAACAAGGCTCTGGAAGCCATGTGGGTTGTCTGTCAAGCAGAACACAGAGGGCAATTCAGAGATGGCACTCTGGGTGGGTATCGCTTCCATCTAGATTCAGATAAACTCGGGCTGCCTTCACCACACTGTTTTCTGGACATCAGCTGCCTGCAACATGTAGACTGCTGAAGAGAGACAAGTGTGAGCATCTTTGTTCTGGGGCTTGGGAGATGACCCAGGCAGGAAAGAGCTTGCTGTGAAAGCATGGGGACCTGTATGCAATCCCTAGAAACCACATCAAGAAGATATTTGGTGGGATGTATTTGCAACCCCAGTGCTGGAGAGGTGGATTGAGGAGGTCCCTGCAGTCTGCTGGCCAGACAGCCTTAGCCCAGTCAGAGAGCCTTATCTCAGAAAAAAATGTGGGAAATACTTGAGCATGACACCTGATGTTGACCTCTTTTGTACACGATGAGATCACACACACAAACACACACACACACACACCATACACGAGTGGGGTGGGGGAGGGGAGAGAGAGGGAGAAGGGATTGACATATGAAGCAAGCTTGTTCCTAATTTGAACTAATAAAAAAAAATTACAAAAAAAAAATTCTCCTAAGGTAGGCTATGTGGTCACCATTCTTCTCAAGCAAGGCATAATACTGCATCAAAAAATCCCAGCACTTGGGAGGCAGAGGCAGGTGGATCTCTTTGAGTTCAAGGCCAGTCTAGTCTACAAAGTGAGTTCCAGGACAGCCAATGCTATCACACAAAGAAATCCTGTCTCGAAAAACCTAAAAATAAAATATTTTAAAGGAATATTTCCATTGGCATAAGCAGTGATCATTCAGATGTAAACTTCTAAGGAATGACTGCCACCATGAGAAAGGACCATTGTCATAGACTCATCAGCATAATGGTATAATGAAGTTCATTATGTTGTCTTCAGTGGAAGTACACTTGCTGGCGAGTACCACCCAACACTGACTCTGAGACCCCAAGAGCTATGCCTCTTTAAGGATTGGCCTCACAAGCCTCAAGGAAAAGTCGGCCTGTCTCAGTCCCCACATGAGGGCAGAGACATTGGGGAACTTTGGGGCCCTTTATTATCTACTTGTAAAATGTTATAAGCCTGTAAACTAGTTAATTTATGAGCCATGTTAATAATTTGCTCACACTTGATCGCTGGTTTCGCAAACACTGCTTCCAGGGATGTGGGAGGATAATTTGTAGGTCCAGCTTCTCAGCTAAGGGGACACTAACTAATTTGACACAGTACCGTGACATTGATGGCGGGCACACTAATGACTGTACTCCTAGATGTGGCTGTCAGCCTGTCGTTCCAGTGAGGAGCCTGCTTGCTCACAGTGTGGCTCAGGACACAATGCTCAACTCATTATTCAGACAGCACCATTAATGAGAGCCCGTGTTTATTTCTACCATACTAACCAGTGCTTAGCTTCCATTTGTCTGATACGGTCATTGATTAAAATGGGTCTCATGAATAGTAAATTTGAGCCCCACGGAAACAAAGGGCCACCAGAGGAAACATAAGCAAGAGTCTGACTGGAAAACAAACCTGGTCAACTTGTTTTCTGCTTCAAACGTCACCCAGGACAAAGTGACAGGTGGAAGGAAGTGCTATGGATACCAAGCAAAGAGAAGGGGATGTTATAATCGCACATGCCTGTGGCTCAGCTTGATTATTCTGACCATGGTCATCTTAACTTCAACACAGTCAAGAGTGGTAGTCAGCAGTGCCTTCCGCCTCATACAACCCTTAGAAATCTTCAAAATGGGGCATCACATAATATACTGAAATACCGGGGTTTACTATGACATTTTCATCACTGTACTTTGCTCACATCCACCCACTGCAGTCCCCTGCTCAAGACACTAGTGACTTAAATAGCCCCCCTCGGCTTCCGTGCTGTGCTTGCATGAACCTAAACTTTTCACACGAGATAACACTACCTACTCCTCTCTCTGACTCGGACTTCTTTCACTTAACAGGATGACCTTCAGCTCAGATCCTTATCCTACAAGTGGCATGATTTCATTCTCTTCTACAGAAGAATAAAACTCCATAGACCACGTATACCACCTTGTCTTTACCCATCTGTCCACTGTTACGTATCTAGGCAGGTTCTGTGTCTGGGATACTGTGGATAGAACAGCAATAAGCCTGGACTTAACAAGTATCTCTGGTGGGCCTGGGATCCTTTGGGGTGTGGCTGGGTCACATTTGTCTTTCCCTGCATTTGCTGTTTTCTTGGGGACAGAAATCTGGGGACTCTGAGTGCAGAGTTTTAGACTCATTTCCCCATGGATGACACAAAGGTTTACTGTGCTTTTCAACCTCACAAAAGTTTGCTCTTTAATTAAACTGACTCAAACATGGTCATCAAGGACACCAATAAACACATCTGTGATGTTTCTGAACTGGTAACAAAACTGTATAGCTGCGGCGGCGGTTAAAAATACCCTCTTATACGTGTTTCCAGTCCTAACTAAACCTTGTAGTCAATTTCTGTCTTAAATTAAATTTCTATTTTGGTCTGACAAATTTTCTTTCATTTTATGATGATTATAATCCTAAAATATTCATATAATAATTTAAAATGAATAACTTTTTTAAAAGGTAGGCCCACATCTATTAAAGGAATGATAAAACCAAGACTACTCCCAATGTGGTTCATCACAGAATGTGCAATTCAAATTAAATATTTCAGCAAATGCTGTCTGCCACTCAGGATAAAGAATTCTACTGAATACTGCATATGACTTTGGATTTTTATAAAATAGCAAAACAAGTCTGAGCCCACATAGATCACTTTGGGAATTAGAGTGTCATTACATGCAGCAGTGCCTAAGTACATATTCCTGGACTCACTGCCCAAGATGGATCTATAATTTAAGAAGGGCCATGATGCCTAAGCAGTGCACAACATGTGGGAAGCAGATTTAGATGGCCTGCTGGTTTGGAAGTACATTTCAACAAATATACAGAACCATTGTTCCAAGCAGCCTGACCGTCTCCGACTGCTGCTATTTCCATGGGCAACTACAGCAGGCAGGCACACAGTGTCAGCATCTCCACACTGTGTATTTCCAGTAACTAATTGCTGTCCCATCATGACCTGGTAAAACAGTCAGTTGTAGCCATTACTGGATAGGTGCCCATCCAGTTCTCCTTTCTAAGCAGAAAGCTGAGCTGGGTGCCCTGTACCCTTGTAGCTCTGAAGATCCTTGTCACCTAGTTCTGGGCAAACACAACAAGGTAGGATGTACACCTTCTGACTCTCATGCCTCCTCACTTTGCCTAAGACCCTCTCTCATTCCTTGATTGAGGGACTGAGTGGGACTTCCTACCATCTGAGGGGAGTCGTATTACAGGATGTCTTAAAGCCAGGGCCCTTGAAGTACGTGCAGATCATTACAAGAAGTTTAACTCAGACCATGAAAGGATACAAAGAGCAGAGTCACAGGCAGCAACTTCACTCCACCCTCAACAACCAGTGGCAACCTGAGGGTGCCTGGGAAGTAGAAAGCACTGGGTGAAGCCTCTTGGATACAGTAATGATTATAACCACTACAAATGGTGCCTGAACCCTCTTTGTAT